ACTCCATAATGAAACATCATATATATTTAATCGGTTGTAAATTTGCATGTTGACATGTGAATTAGTTTAAACAAACATTAGCTATATGTAGTATCTGAAGAATAATCTTATTTTTCGCGTAACAAATGAAATATATGTCTTGATAGATTCATATATAAATTATATCTCCCACGTTGCACATGCAAGTTATGAGCCAGATTTCAAGAGAGATCTGTATACAATAATACGCCAACGGATCGGATAATATTCTAACAAAAGCATAATACAAACAGAAGCATCCAACATTCCAACATATTCAGTTCTGTGTCGTAAGCCAATATTTAGAATATACTAATAAGAATTGTTACAATGTCAGTTTTGTTATAATATATATTACAAATAATATACAATAGAAAGATGTTCGGCCACCTAATACAAAAGAACGCAGATGGGCAAATGTGACAAGATTTGTATAATAATCATTTCAGCAAATAATTTGATTTTTCAAGCATCAAATAACATAAACTAAATTACACAAACTGCATTGGTTTAGCTGGATGGAGATGAAAATTTTGAGTTGTGCCAGAGACATTCCTATGTTTTAGAATATATGAGTTTTTTGGTCAAAGAAAATATGAGTTCCAACGAGAAAAGAGATTCACGTACCTGTCAAAACATTCGTGAAGTTTTAAAAAGGTAAAACGGTGTTGCCACTCTGAAGACATAACCTAGCTCTATTTCTTTTGGTCTTTATTGTTACTTTCCGATGTTGACTCCACCAACTCCATTTTCTATGTATTGATCCGACTTTTTGCACACCATATATATAGACAAATTAATGTAATAGTGTCTACAATCTACATGCTTGTTATTCTAATAAGAGCTATAAAATTGTATATAAGGGTACAAAACGTAATAACTAATCTAGTTTTTTTACTCTATTTGAACTGGTAACTTTTTTCCTCCGTATAAGAGACGTTTATCAAACGATTGACAATAATTTCAGTTGTTTCCACATAGATTTAAACTTATACACAATAATATTCTGAAAGTACTTTAGATCTCAGCTTTGTAGATGTTATATATATAATATGACAAGCATTGCTATGTTAGTGAATATATATGAAAAATTAAACAATGCTATTTTAGTGAAGAAAAGAGACATCAAAATTTATGTAGTCCGTAAATTTTCATCAAAGAGTTGGAATCAAAAACTTTGTGCAAGTATATACTACGTACATTGTTTGCTTTAAAAAGTGTATACGTTGACTATATTGGGATAGAGAGAATACCAAAGTTTTAATAAGATCGCTAGTTAGGGCTGGTCTTGAAATTTTGAAGGTCTATACTGTTTCACTTGCCCTTGTTGCATATCGTGTTGAAGAAAATATATTTATCTTTTGATTAAGAGGGAGAAAGAAACAGCATGTGGAAGGTAGACTTGTCGTTGACGTGAAGGAACAAAATGCCCGTGATGAAGAACATATTGTCGAGAAAAAAAAAATCAACTAATACTACAAATGTTTTGGGATAATCTCTCTGTCTCCTTCAGTCATTGGTCCACTTCATTTATGGGCAATCTCGAGTTGGGCCCTATACATAAGCTGGTGAAGAAACTTGGAAGGTTTTCTATACCCTATAATACTCTGTCGTTATTTGCTCGTATCAATTTAAACTGTAACAACATATTGTTTGGATGCGAATGCGATTGAATCAAACTTTAGAGACAAGACCCGAGTATCAGGGCATGGATATATGGAACTCTGGAAGACACAGAAGAACATCACATAAGAGTCTAAAACACGCGTCATGTTAGTTCAGAACACGTTGATTGTGCTACAAAACATAAACCCTAATTTCTTAAACGTAGCGTCATATTCAAATTCAGATTTGGCATGTTTCAACTTTTATAATCAGTCGAACTGAACTCATTTAGCTTATATGACATACTTACGATTGGGAATTTTAGACCAAGACATATTAATGGATCTTCATGTATCCATATGAAATTTCTAGGGGCAAATGTTTCTAGTGACAACTGATATTTATCATTGGTAGGAAAACAATAATCATTACACAATAGTTACATTTTACATGACTTGATTATCATGTTGTGCTGTTACAATGGGTTTTAATCACACACTATCAAATATTCTAATGTAAATTATAAAACTCCATGAAAGAAAACCATAAGTAACTAGAGGTCATTAGTTCAACATAAAAAGACTCTAACCATTATGTTAAAGGGTCTCAGTTCCCATGATCCCTGAAACGAAACTAATATTATATAATGTGATTTTGGACCCAAGAGATTAGAGACTTAAGTCCCAAACCATTCTCAATATTCGGAAAAAAAAAACACTATGACTATATTCGTACATAATATAAAGAGAGTGAATGTTGAATTACAAAACTAAATCTTAGATCGGTTTCGAGATTACGGGATTCGGTCATGAACTTCTTTTTTTTTATAAACCCTATCGGCTGATATGGTTGATCCCGGGAGAAACACACTTAGTGCTATAGAATAGATTGGTTACCACATCGTCTGATTCGAGTTTGAAATATCTAGAGACTGAACCAATCATCTGTTACGATTAATCATATAAATCACTTGGACTAAAACTCAAACCCCAAACTGACGAAATAATAATAATTTAGTTCCAGGAAAATCAAACTCTTACTATTCGAAAAAAATACACCACAAATATATACATATATAATACGAAGAGATACTCTTGATTATAGGCCGTTAAATTCAATTTTTGATGGGGACAAGACGACCCATGTTGATATGCAAAGAAAAGTAATCTCTATAATATTATTTGAGAAGTCACTTTCTTAGGTGTCGCACTCACGTTAACTTTCACGCTGGTTGATTACTATGATACCCCTAATGAATTAAAAATATATTTAAATATTATTATTTCCTTTTTAAAATCTTCCAAATAACAATATAAAACAAAAAGGAAATAGTTATAAAATTTACAAAACTATTTAAAAACGAA